TGAGAAGAAAGATTGAACCATAAACAAGCAAGAAGGCACCAAGACAACTTATCAATTGAAGTATAGTAATTAATTTTCACCCATGTTACAGCTCAAAGCAGACGTTTAATTTTCATCATATATTTTTTGCAGAGTCAGACTTCCAAGAAACATTGAGCAGGATCCTCTAGTCCTTAACAAAGTTAACAGACAAAACCCTAAGGGAAGAAAGCTAAAAAGTGACACAACTCTATTAGTGCACGTGGACAAACAACGATGATAATTTTAAAAACTATGAATCAGAAAGGTAAGCAACATGGTGGTTGAGCTTAACTTTGATGCTCCAACAGTATACAAAGATTTCAATTACATCGATTGATATGATAACAAATTATCAGATGAGCTTAATAAGTTAAGAATTACACGAGAAGTTAAGCTAACTAAATGAGGAGGTAGGCTGAAAGCGTACAACATATTCTCACTGCCAATCCATCAAAATTAAACTATACTTTCAAATCCAAGTCTATCAATATAATCCACTATGCTTAAATATTGAGGTTAGTGACAGAGATTATTTGGTTGTGTGCATGAATTAAGAAAAGAAAAAGAGCAATACTCACCTTTTCTCTTAATTGTTGTTTTCTCTCAGCTCGTTCAGCTGCATTAACCGCTTCTCTCTCAGCTGATGCACATGTACCATCCATATACCAAATCAGATTTGTACAAATATTATACATGATACACCATAAAGGGTAAATGCCTATAGCTAAGATAACCTATAAAAAATAAAGGAGGTGTCCACCATTTGCCTCCTTGTCCAGAAAAAAATAGCATTTTTAACTATCCAAACTTAAATGTTCTAAAGAAAATATTACTCAAAAGAAATGAAGCAACTTATTAAGTACCTTTCAAATCAGGTTTCCTTTCCACTTTTGTCTTGTTTAGCCTGTTAACAATCTCATTTATCCTCTTCTCAACTCTCACTGTTCGAACCTAAAATGCATGAAAACCAGAAAATGATACTCTCTTAAAATGAACCATTCAACTACCCACCCGCCCACACTGAAAAAACAAAAAGAAAAAAGACAGAACTAAAAAGATGAGAAAGAATATGAAAAAGATTCAACTGTGAAAAGCATTCACCATTTTTGAATTGTGAAAACCAACTTGACCAACATCCATTGAAGCAGTTTTCTTTAAATTAGACCATGGAGTGTAAACAACATCAACATTGTTCACTTTATTTCCTGCCATGAATAAAGAAAAATGATAAGAACTGCGCACATAGTACCAGTAACTGGAAAGATACATATGAAAGTCATATAATAACTGCATATATGTTTTTGAAATAGTAGGAGATAGCCTTACCGAATTCTATTGGTAAACATAGATCCTGTTTGGATAAATCTCTCTGTAAACACTTATAGGAGCAGAAGAGAAAAAAGGTACAATACATTGAACTTCTCCTATAAACTATAATCAACTTATGCACCTAAAATTCTGAAGAAATAAAATGAACGAGTTTCTATAAAAGCTAAATGCATAAGCTGATTTTAACTTATAGGAGAGACCTTAATTCATTTTACCTTCTCATTTTCTTTTGCAGTAACACATAAAATTGGCAGCTAAATCAATTAAACTAATAAACTAGAGGAATAAACTGTCAGGCTTTCACCTTGAATTGAATTTGCTTTGACAAGCTGAGCACAGTCTTCCAGTAAACCTTCACTCATGCCATCAATAGTCTGGCCTTTGTGCAGTCTTACATAGACATGGGCTGAAGACATTTTATCAACATGAAACCTACAATAAACAGATTTTATCAATAAAGAACCTCAGTGAATGAAAACAAAAACAACACAACTATCTAAGCAAGCATTAAATCAAAACAAAAAGAAAGTAGTCGCCATTCAAGGAAACAAATTTAAGAAAAAATGCGTGAAGAAATTACTATCTTCCAGAAACAGAACAGAACAAATAGCCAAAAGCAACATCACATCCCCAAAATGGGTTGCCCTATACACGAAAAAAACTCAATTTTCGTCCCCCGGACAAAATAAATACAGTGTTATTAAAACAAAAGAATTGGTTGAATCACAATTCTAAACAAACCCGACTATTACATGATAATAATATTGAGTATTAACCACAAAATCGACAATCCTTCACTTTCAACTAGTGATGCAAAACATCGAGACCAAACAGCACAGAAACCTCTGCTAAAAAAACGACACAACTGCTAATCAAATCAAATCAAATCGCGTTCAAGACCAAGGCCAAGTGTGCAATTTCTACCGGATGCAGAGAATTTGAGGAAACGAAAAAGAAATTAAGATATTGAAAGAATGAACATTGGGGTTACCAAATATCTTCGGGAAAACCGTATTTGATGAGCTCCTCGTTTTCGAACTTGTCGAGACCCATGAAGATAGTGTAGTCGCCGGCTTCAGGACGCGCCTTGAAGTAGAACACCATCGTGCGTGTGTGGCGTTGTTTCGACGCAGACGTTGAAGAAAGCGTATGCGGTTAGATTAGGGTTCTGAATGGGAACTGTTCTTTTCCTCAAAACAAATCAAAATTGGGGAATTGCTTTCGTTACACGAATCGCCGCGTCAATCATAAACACACCGAACCTTTCTTCTTTTACTAGAGCCAAATGCGCCGTTGTGTTGTGGTGGGTACAACAAAATACAATTCTGCCACGAAATTTCCAGATTCTAATAAACTTCAACTGTGGTAACAAATTTCACCCAAATAACAGAGACAAAAATTATATACAAGAGGAAAAGATAGAAGTCAAAAGATAGACGCTCACCAAATTTACGAATATATACTATAAAAAAAATTATTCTTCTAAAATTCTAAAATATAATAACCTTCTAAAATTCTAAAATATAAAAGAGGTAAATTGTCATTTTCCGACGTGAGTGTTCTTACTTTTTTTTAGTTAACATTTCCTTATACTTTTTTTACTGTAACTTGTATATTTTTTATAGTTAACTTGGATTTCATTTTTTAAAATTATAGTAATTAAAAATACGATTACGTCACCCTATTAATTATTTACCACAAATATAAAATAAATTTATAAACTCAAAAATATAGTCGTTTTGGCTTAATATAGTTGTTTTTGGTGGTTAAATTTTCTACTGCTTTGTTGTATTTTCAAATATAGATCTACGTTTTTTATTAAATCAAAATGAAAAAAATTGAATAACATAACTGATAAATAAACGTTTGTTTTTAAATTTTGAATTTTAATGAAGTTAACTTAGAGTTCATAAATGATTTTTTTTATATATTTTTTAAAATACCTATTAGTAAGAGTTAAAAATTTATCTTATTTTAAAAACATTTGAAGAAAAGTGAAAAGCATACTAACTTTCCTTATTTTATTTCTATCTTTGTCTTCCTCTTGGGTTACTCTTTTTTGCTCTTCAAGAAAATTGAAAACTTATATTTACACTTTATAGTGTTTGGAACTTTACCTGGAGTTTTACAGTTTTGGTAGAGTTACAACGTTTAAAGCTTTACAGTGTTTGATAGTTACAAAATTTGGACTGAAATGTTTGGAACTTTGCAGCGTCTAGAAACCTGAAGTGTTTGATGCTACAACGTTTGAAACTCTTCAGCGTGTAGGGAACTAAAGTGTCTAGAACTTTACAGCGGGACTCAAAATATCTAATCATTCAAGTGTTTATCAACTCAAAGTGGATCGAGAAGCATTTATCAAATCAAACAACAAATTGTATATTATACTTAACTATTTTAGTAAATGTTAAGAATTGAAATAGTGTCTTTACAATAATCTTATTTCCTTATATAACTACGTTTGGAATGATTGATTACTAACTTATAATAAATGATTATTTGTAACAATTGCCAAGAGACCTTTTATATTTTGACCTATTTTTTAAATGGGATCTATATAAATACCTTGCCGCTTAATATTTAGAAATACTTTTATTAAAAAGTTTAAAAAGTCTATCTTAAAAACTTTCTAGACAAAAAGTGTGCAAACTTGTAAAATGTTTAAGTTAGTATAAGGAAGTGTCTCCATTAGTGTGTCTAAGTAAGTGTATATATATATTGTTGCAATGTTAAGTTTATTGATCATTTTGTGTCAAAAAAAAATGTTTATAGTCTTTTATTTGCCAAAAGAGATAAATCCTAAACTTATATTCTACGGTGTAAGTAGTTGTTTATTTTTAGTGTTTAATTAATCTCTTTTTTAAAGAGATTAATAACGTAAGATTTTTTTATCTGAATCAATATAAAATATTTGTACAATCTTTTTCTTCTTTACTCTAGTTTATTTATTTGCTTTTATTCAAAATATTTTTTCAAATTTATTAAAAAGTAAATAAAAGAAAAAATTTATTAAAAAAACTATTTTTAATACGAACCAATTCACTTACTTTTGATTTTGTCCATGCTCTAAATATTTTGCTGCAATGTATTATTTAAACTTGTAATGCTTTGTCAAACAAAAAAAAAACATGGTATGAGTTCGGGAACCTTACCACGTTTGAAATGAAATGAGTTGCAAAGATATTGGTATGGTAGTGGTATACCACTTAAAAGTAATAACATGAAAAAAATAGAATGCACTTCCACATTAATAATTTATTCATAATTACGAGTATAAGTTTGAAATTTAAATTATGGATTAAAACCGATTGACGAATTATAATGGATTAGGTTGCAAATCGATAATATTTTTAAATATTATTTATTATTATGTAATTTTATTGTTTCTTAGTATTATAATATCATAATTTTCATGTAAAACATAAATATGGATCATTTTATGTTTAAGATGTAAATGCTTTTCATTTACATTTCACATTTTTATCAGTCGAATTATTTTTATATTTTTCATTATTGAACTTCGTTGACATTAGCATTGTGTTTTTCTTTGGTTGTGATAAGAACACGTATCTATTTTCAACTGTTTGGTATTATAATAATGTCTGTCGGAATTAAATAATAGAAGAAACTAACTATTTAAATAGTTGTCATTAAATAAAATTTAAAAGTGGCTGTCATTGAAAAAATCTGAATCAACAAAATGAATATTCGGAATCTTCCCGCACTACATCACTTCACAACAACTATCCATAATGACAAATCACCAACATAGTTGAAGCCATGCCAATAATTGAAAGTCAATTTTGGCTACTGGAGATTTGATCTCACCAATAATGCTGCAAATAGGACGGAATAATATTCCAAAATTTGCTATTATCCATACTTGCAGAGATTCTCAAATCCCATGTACTCATGATTTTCTATCTTCTGTATCATATTTGCAATACCAACTCCACCTAAAATGCGAGCCAAATTAAACGTTTAAAATCCATAAGCAAATGCACATTATAATAAGTTTTCACCAAAACCAAAAGAATTGCATGCGATGCTCACCTAATGAAACTGCACTGATAAATATTGTAGAGGCTAGAATAAAGATAATAAGAGATGCTCTTCCAAAAATGATGATCAATTTTCTCACAATGTGCTGTCCAACCACAGCAGCAATGACAGCCACAAGGGAAAAGTACCCAGCTGTGCAACATTCAACAAAACGAAGCTTAAATAGAGGCTATACTGTAATTAATTGAATATTGCGTCGTATCACTTTAACATTGCATTTTTCAGAGTTATAATTTTCAAGTTCTGAGGCACTAACCATAAGGAACTGGAAAACGTTTCAATAGGTAGTATTCTATGACTGACATAGATGAGGAAAAGGTCATGGCAAAGGTAGCTGTGGCACTTGACACCTGCACATAACACGTTGAATCCTTTCAGTAACACAAATAAACTTCTTCATCTGCTTCTACTCTCACCAAATATCATCTCATATTTGCATCCATAGATAGCCTAAATTTACATATCTCACATTATACATACATTGCTTCAAAAATTTACAAAACTATAAGACTTCACAAAACATAGAAAGTTTAATTTGAAAGTAACCTGAGGTGGGACTCCCAGCTCCAGAAAAAGTGGGCCCATAACGAATCCTCCTCCTAGTCCCAACATGCCACCAACTACGCCAGCTAGTATGCCAAAGACACAATAGATAATTAGCTGTAAAACAGTGAAATTTTTCCCTTCTTCTCCCGTGGAAGCTATTACTCTGCGTCCACTGAACAAGGCCGCTGCCTCATATGCAGTTACCCCAACCGAGACAGGAATCTGCATAACACGGAAACCATGTTTCGAAAGGTTTAAAGATGTTGTTAACAGACATTTTTCTTGTCTAAGGGTAATTAATGCTATGGAGGAATGTCCTGAAAGGAATTACCTGTAACAAGTTCAGTACCCAATACCATGTTGAACAAGTTGTCGTATAGTTTTCCTGTAAATAGTACATTATTATTGGTCTCTAGTTAGAAAGTTGCACGGTGTAAAAGTATAAAGTAATCTTTGTCAGTAGATATATATGAAAGAACAACCTTTGCAATCTGTAGTGCAAGGAACGAAATCCAAACAAACATAAGAAGTCCAAACTCCTTCCAGCATACATTTTCAATAATAGTCACCTGATGCAGAATACACATTTATTAAATATAAAAAGGAAAATCAGGAAGTTCGTAACAACACACTGGAGAAGAGAATAGTGACCTCATGTTCAACGGTGACACTCTTGATGTCCTTCACAGGGACACCATTTGGTCCACTTGGAAGAGGCTTGTATTCCACTTCACCTCCAGAACCTACACCAAAATCAAAGTTGCAACTTGCATGGATCTGACATAAGAAATAAATTGTTCCGGTAAAACTTTAATATGATTTGGTGTACGTTGATGAATAGTATCTGAACTCACCGTTGGATTGTCGCCTAGCAGCCTCCTAGATTGATACAAAATGTCAAACAGTTAGCCATCAATTTCAGGTTATATACACCAAAACAGTGCTTTCTTCTTGTTAATCATAGTGAAAGACACAAAGTAACAAAACAATACTTTCTGATCGTTGAATTATTTATACTATGTTGTTAGTTAAGGTAAAATGTCAGGTAATATATAAATGAAGTTAAGCAAGACCTTTTTCATTATGGTTTCCTTTTTCCAGGTTTCAACCCCCTTACAGAAAGCTTTTGTTGAGGTGCCTGCAAGACAATAAAATCAGTTAACAAATATTAGAGTGCCAAAGTGAAATAGCAGCTAGAATGATTGTTACCTAAGAAGAGAACAATGAGCAATATTGTCACTATCCAATCAGGAAATACAACATTGAAGGCCACTCCAATGCTGATGCCTAGCATGAGCATTGGTTGAATGAGAAGGGCCAAATCATAGTCTATGATTGGCTTATTCAAGGTAGGATGCCTCAGTTTAAGGTTGTAGTAAACTGTTGACAAAGCTGCACCCATGATCATACCTGTATCATTGAAAGTTGCAGGTCTTTTATTTCTCTTTTTATACATATGAGTTTGAATATAACTAAAGAAAATAAAGAAATGATACGAACAACCAGACAACTTTTTTGCTTGGCCGATGAAAAATAATGGGAAATAAAAGAGAACAAAATCACAGATTTTCATTTTCTTTTTCATTTTTTCTATAATTTTNAATCAAATCAAATCGCGTTCAAGACCAAGGCCAAGTGTGCAATTTCTACCGGATGCAGAGAATTTGAGGAAAAGAAAAAGAAATTAAGATATTGAAAGAATGAACATTGGGGTTACCAAATATCTTCGGGAAAACCGTATTTGATGAGCTCCTCGTTTTCGAACTTGTCGAGACCCATGAAGATAGTGTAGTCGCCGGCTTCAGGACGCGCCTTGAAGTAGAACACCATCGTGCGTGTGTGGCGTTGTTTCGACGCAGACGTTGAAGAAAGCGTATGCGGTTAGATTAGGGTTCTGAATGGGAACTGTTCTTTTCCTCAAAACAAATCAAAATTGGGGAATTGCTTTCGTTACACGAATCGCCGCGTCAATCATAAACACACCGAACCTTTCTTCTTTTACTAGAGCCAAATGCGCCGTTGTGTTGTGGTGGGTACAACAAAATACAATTCTGCCACGAAATTTCCAGATTCTAATAAACTTCAACTGTGGTAACAAATTTCACCCAAATAACAGAGACAAAAATTATATACAAGAGGAAAAGATAGAAGTCAAAAGATAGACGCTCACCAAATTTACGAATATATACTATAAAAAAAATTATTCTTCTAAAATTCTAAAATATAATAACCTTCTAAAATTCTAAAATATAAAAGAGGTAAATTGTCATTTTCCGACGTGAGTGTTCTTACTTTTTTTTAGTTAACATTTCCTTATACTTTTTTTACTGTAACTTGTATATTTTTTATAGTTAACTTGGATTTCATTTTTTAAAATTATAGTAATTAAAAATACGATTACGTCACCCTATCAATTATTTACCACAAATATAAAATAAATTTATAAACTCAAAAATATAGTCGTTTTGGCTTAATATAGTTGTTTTTGGTGGTTAAATTTTCTACTGCTTTGTTGTATTTTCAAATATAGATCTACGTTTTTTATTAAATCAAAATGAAAAAAATTGAATAACATAACTGATAAATAAACGATTGTTTTTAAATTTTGAATTTTAATGAAGTTAACTTAGAGTTCATAAATGATTTTTTTTATATATTTTTTAAAATACCTATTAGTAAGAGTTAAAAATTTATCTTATTTTAAAAACATTTGAAGAAAAGTGAAAAACATACTAACTTTCCTTATTTTATTTCTATCTTTGTCTTCCTCTTGGGTTACTCTTTTTTGCTCTTCAAGAAAATTGAAAACTTATATTTACACTTTATAGTGTTTGGAACTTTACCTGGAGTTTTACAGTTTTGGTAGAGTTACAACGTTTAAAGCTTTACAGTGTTTGATAGTTACAAAATTTGGACTGAAATGTTTGGAACTTTGCAGCGTCTAGAAACCTGAAGTGTTTGATGCTACAACGTTTGAAACTCTTCAGCGTGTAGGGAACTAAAGTGTCTAGAACTTTACAGCGGGACTCAAAATATCTAATCATTCAAGTGTTTATCAACTCAAATTGGATCGATAAGCATTTATCAAATCAAACAACAAATTGTATATTATACTTAACTATTTTAGTAAATGTTAAGAATTGAAATAGTGTCTTTACAATAATCTTATTTTCTTATATAACTAGGTTTGGAATGATTGATTAGTAACTTATAATAAATGATTATTTGTGACAATTGCAAAGAGACTTTTTATATTTTGACCTATTTTTTAAGTGGGATTTATAAATATCTTGCCGCTTAATATTTAGAAATACTTTTATTAAAAAGTTTAAAAGTCCATCTTAAAAACTTTCTAGACAAAAAGTGTGCAAACTTGTAAAATGTATAAGTTAGTATAAGGAAGTGCCTCATTAGTGTGTCTAAGTAAGTGTGTATATATGTTGTTGTAATGTTAAGTTTATTGATCATTTTGTGTCAAAAAAAAATATTTATAGTCTCTTATTTGTCAAGAGAGATAAATCCTAAACTTATACTCTACGGTGTAAGTAGTTGTTTATTTTTAGTGTTTAATTAATCTCTTTTTTAAAGAGATAAATAATTAGACGTAAGATTTTTTGATCTGAATCATTATAAAATCTTTGTACAATTTTTTTCTTCTTTACTCTAGTTTATTTATTTGCTTTTATTCAAAATATTTTTTCAAATTTATTAAAAAGTAAATAAAAGAAAAAATTTATTAAAAAAACTATTTTTAATACGAACCAATTCACTTACTTTTGATTTTGTCCATGCTCTAAATATTTTGCTGCAATGTATTATTTAAACTTGTAATGCTTTGTCAAACAAAAAAAAACATGGTATGAGTTCGGGAACCTTATCACGTTTGAAATGAAATGAGTTGCAAAGATATTGGTATGGTAGTGGTATACCACTTAAAAGTAACATGAAAAAAAATAGAATGCACCTCCACATTAATAATTTATTCATAATTACGAGTATAAGTTTGAAATTTAAATTATGGATTAAAACCGATTGACGAATTATAATGGATTAGGTTGCAAATCGATAATATTTTTAAATATTATTTATTATTATGTAATTTTATTGTTTCTTAGTATTATAATATCATAATTTTCATGTAAAACATAAATATGGATCATTTTATGTTTAAGATGTAAATGCTTTTCATTTACATTTCACATTTTTATCAGTCTAATTATTTTTATATTTTTCATTATTGAACTTCGTTGACATTAGCATTGTGTTTTTCTTTGGTTGTGATAAGAACACGTATCTATTTTCAACTGTTTGGTATTATAATAATGTCTGTCGGAATTAAATAATAGAAGAAACTAACTATTTAAATAGTTGTCATTAAATAAAATTTAAAAGTGGCTGTCATTAAAAAAATCTGAATCAACAAATTGAATATTCGGAATCTTTCCCGCACTACATCACTTCACAACAACTATCCATAATGACAAATCACCAACATAGTTGAAGCCATGCCAATAATTGAAAGTCAATTTTGGCTACTGGAGATTGGATCTCACCAATAATGCTGCAAATAGGACTGAATAATATTCCAAAATTTGCTATTATCCATACTTGCAGAGATTCTCAAATCCCATGTACTCATGATTTTCTATCTTCTGTATCATATTTGCAATACCAACTCCACCTAAAATGCGAGCCAAATTAAACGTTTAAAATCCATAAGCAAATGCACATTATAATAAGTTTTCACCAAAACCAAAAGAATTGCATGCGATGCTCACCTAATGAAACTGCACTGATAAATATTGTAGAGGCTAGAATAAAGATAATAAGAGATGCTCTTCCAAAAATGATGATCAATTTTCTCACAATGTGCTGTCCAACCACAGCAGCAATGACAGCCACAAGGGAAAAGTACCCAGCTGTGCAACATTCAACAAAACGAAGCTTAAATAGAGGCTATACTGTAATTAATTGAATATTGCTTCGTATCACTTTAACATTGCATTTTTCAGAGTTATAATTTTCAAGTTCTGAGGCACTAACCATAAGGAACTGGAAAACGTTTCAATAGGTAGTATTCTATGACTGACATAGATGAGGAAAAGGTCATGGCAAAGGTAGCTGTGGCACTTGACACCTGCACATAACACGTTGAATCCTTTCAGTAACACAAATAAACTTCTTCATCTGCTTCTACTCTCACCAAATATCATCTCATATTTGCATCCATAGATAGCCTAAATTTACATATCTCACATTATACATACATTGCTTCAAAAATTTACAAAACTATAAGACTTCACAAAACATAGAAAGTTTAATTTGAAAGTAACCTGAGGTGGGACTCCCAGCTCCAGAAAAAGTGGGCCCATAACGAATCCTCCTCCTAGTCCCAACATGCCACCAACTACGCCAGCTAGTATGCCAAAGACACAATAGATAATTAGCTGTAAAACAGTGAAATTTTTCCCTTCTTCTCCCGTGGAAGCTATTACTCTGCGTCCACTGAACAAGGCCGCTGCCTCATATGCAGTTACCCCAACCGAGACAGGAATCTGCATAACACGGAAACCATGTTTCGAAAGGTTTAAAGATGTTGTTAACAGACATTTTTCTTGTCTAAGGGTAATTAATGCTATGGAGGAATGTCCTGAAAGGAATTACCTGTAACAAGTTCAGTACCCAATACCATGTTGAACAAGTTGTCGTATAGTTTTCCTGTAAATAGTACATTATTATTGGTCTCTAGTTAGAAAGTTGCACGGTGTAAAAGTATAAAGTAATCTTTGTCAGTAGATATATATGAAAGAACAACCTTTGCAATCTGTAGTGCAAGGAACGAAATCCAAACAAACATAAGAAGTCCAAACTCCTTCCAGCATACATTTTCAATAATAGTCACCTGATGCAGAATACACATTTATTAAATATAAAAAGGAAAATCAGGAAGTTCGTAACAACACACTGGAGAAGAGAATAGTGACCTCATGTTCAACGGTGACACTCTTGATGTCCTTCACAGGGACACCATTTGGTCCACTTGGAAGAGGCTTGTATTCCACTTCACCTCCAGAACCTACACCAAAATCAAAGTTGCAACTTGCATGGATCTGACATAAGAAATAAATTGTTCCGGTAAAACTTTAATATGATTTGGTGTACGTTGATGAATAGTATCTGAACTCACCGTTGGATTGTCGCCTAGCAGCCTCCTAGATTGATACAAAATGTCAAACAGTTAGCCATCAATTTCAGGTTATATACACCAAAACAGTGCTTTCTTCTTGTTAATCATAGTGAAAGACACAAAGTAACAAAACAATACTTTCTGATCGTTGAATTATTTATACTATGTTGTTAGTTAAGGTAAAATGTCAGGTAATATATAAATGAAGTTAAGCAAGACCTTTTT